ACCTCTCTTCGGTCCAAATATTCTCAACACCCTGTTCTGAAACACACTCAGTTTATGTTCCTCCCTTAATGTCAGAGACCAATTTTCAGACCCATACAGAACCACAGGCAAAATTATAGCTTTGTATATTATAATTTTGTTTTTATACAGCAGATGGGAAGACAAAAGGTTCTGGACTGAATGGTAGCAAACACTACCCGAGTTCAATCTCCTCTTAATTTCCTCATGCTTCTTGTTTCTTTTACTCGTGTTAATTTTGTAAACGGCCTTTCGTCTGTTATATGTCAAAGTTAATAAATAAAGTATTGAATGTTTGTTGTGTTGTAGTAAAGGTTGAACCTTCCTGCCAATGTATTGTTAGTTTGGTTGTCGTGCGACAGATAGCGACAGCAGAGCAGTCTACCAAAATGGCGTCACATAGAAGTGCGTACGAAACAGAGATGTGTTATTGAATTTCTCACTGCCGAACAAATTGCACCCATTGACGTCCATCGACACTTGCTAAGGGTGTATGGAGACGATACAGTGGATGTCAGCACAGTGAGGCGGTGGGTAGTCCGTTTCAACAGTGGCGAAAGTGAAGTGCACGGCAAGCCACGCCTAGGGCGTCCCTGCTCAGCTGCCACTCCTCACTATGAACAGCGCCTCGATCAGCTCATCCGCACAGATACGCGGATAACGACCAGGGAACTGTGTGCACGGCTTAATATCGGCAGTAATGCATTGGAAACGATGTTGGGGAAGCTGGATTATCGCAAGGTTTGTTCCAGGTGGGTCCCGCGGATGCTTACTCACGACCAGAAAACTCATCGATTGGAAGTCTGTCGGGACCTGTTGCACCAGTTTGAGGCTGAAGGTGACAAGTTTCTGGACAGCATCGTCACCGGAGATGAGACGTGGTGTCACCACCACGAGCTGGAATTCAAAAGACAGCCCATGGAGTGGCGACATCCGGATTCCCCAAGAAAAAAGAAATTCAAGACACAGCCATCGGCAGGGAAAGTGATGTGCACGGTCTTTTGGGATAGGCGAGGTGTGATTTTGTTGGATTTCCTGGAGCCTGGTGAGACTGTCAATTTCGAACGCTACAAGACGACGTTGACTAAGCTGAAAGCCCGCATTTCCCGAGTCAGGCCAGAGAAGCAGATAACCTTTTGCTTGCAACACGATAACGGTAGACCCCATACCAGTTTGGCGATCACCGCGCAAATTGCAAAGTGTGGCTGCACTGTCCTACCACATCCACCTTATAGCCAAGATTTAGCACCTTCAGACTTCCAGGACAGAATACGTGGGCAACATTTTCCAAACAACGATGCTGTCATTGCTGTTGTAAGAAAGTGGCTAGCTTCTGCTGGCGCAGACTTTTACAGGCGCGGCATACAGGCTCTTGTTCATCGCTGGCAAAAGTGCATAACGAATGGTGGTGATTATATGGAAAAATAACTGTAAGTAGCTGAAATCTTGCTCTATTTAACTGTGTTGTTATGCTTTCTGTATCTGTTGTAGTTTCAATTTAAAAAATAGGAGGCATTATATACGGAACGCTCCTCGTAATTATTGCAGCGAACGCTGACAATGCTGGGTTTGATTCTTTCTGAAGATGAAATTTCTTATTTCATTCGGATACAATCAAGAAACATAAAAATACAAATATAAAAAGTGAATTTCAACTTCTGAAGTTGGTAAATATTCTGTTTAATTACACAGATTAACCCAGTAATGACCGGTCACGGTAGCCGAGCGTTTTAACGTATGCACTGCTTTCGCTCGCTCGGAAGCCGGGATCGTGGGTTGGAATCCCACTCATGGCATGGATGTTTAGTGTCTGTGTATGTCTGTGTCCGTTATTCTGTGTTTGTGTGCAGGTAGAGACCTTGCGACGAGCTGATCGCCCGCCAAAGGAGTTCTACCAAATGTCTAAGATCTAGTAAAGGGAAGTGAAAAGGAGTTTCATGGAGGTAGACAAGGGCCAAATTCGGGCTGTAGCGCCAAAGAAAACGAAACTGTAATGACAGCTTATAAGATATACGTGTTCTGCTTTACCAAAAGCTAGGCTTTCTAAACTTCCTTTCCCATGACATTCTAGAACGGCATTGAGTCATCTTAATTCTAAAGAACATTTAACAATCTTGCTGTTTTAAGTAGGTGTGAAATGATTTTAAATATCGTACCTGCGTTTTCTTTCGCAAGTTAACGGTTACATATACAACAGCAAGTATGAGAACGGCGTTCAGACATCTTAATTCTATCTAATATTTTTCAGATTTTCTAAACTTTAAGTAATAGGGTTTTAAGTATCGCCATTGCATTTGTCTCACAACTAACAGATGACATATAAATTCAAGCAGCGTGCTTGGAAATTAAGTCATGTGATTTACATTAAAGAATTCTTTCTTTTGATTAATCTTACAGTATTTTCACTTGCAAAGACAAGACAGAGAATTCTTTTCGGTATTGAGGCGTGTTGGTCTTCTTGCATTCTACTTATCTGAAACCTGTTTTCGGAAATATATTTTTCAGATAGGAGCGACATGTAAGCGAACAGTTCTACTGAGCAGGTTAACTTACCAGTAAAACTTTAGACACGAATTAGGTCATGGCGGTTCAGCCGGGACACCTGATATCCTGACTGATATTTTCCGTGGTTTTCCAGAGCCTCTCAAGGCAACACCGAGATAGTGCCTCGATTAGCCCATGACTGTTTCCCTCCAAATTATTTCCATTTCGTTATTCATCCTCTATCCATCCACCTCACGTTAAATAATCTAGCTACTGAAAAGAGTTGTTAAATTGCCCACAAAATTAGATTGTTCCCATAATAATTACATTCTTTTAAAGTGTTACTGCACATCTTTCAGAAACGTCTTAATTTTCGGAAGCTTATGCTGACACTGCTCAAAACCTCCTTAAAATATTTCGTGTTTGCAACACCAGTATTTGCGGCAAATAAACAGGTCCAATTTTCTGTGCATGTGATATCCTGTGGTGTGCTTAATCTCATAACGGTGAGTTTCTCTCTACAGTAATAGATCATATCTTCAATAAATGAACATACTGACCAATGAAGTACAAAAAATAATTTACGTCAAAGTATTACATAATATTACCATACCGTTTCATGTTAATTTGTTAACATTTTACTTATCTTTCGCTTAAGATAATCATGATATTTTTAATAGCCGGCATGTCATAAATTGCAAGCACCGTAGCATCTATGACGATATAAATATTATGTTTCTGGTCATTATCCATCGTCCTGTTTAGTTTCCAAAACATAACGTTTCGGAGCCTGAATCGCCCTGTTTTTATCTAGCACACCGTCCTGTTTATATTTCAGAACACAACGTATCGGAGGCTCCATTCTGTCTCCGAAGCGTGTTTTGAAAAATAAACAGGACGGTGTACTAGATAAAAACAGAACGATGGATATCCGGAAACATAATATTTGTGCTAACGCATCGTCCCAAACTTTTAGGTCTTATCTCTGGCGGTATTTTCCTCTACTGAGTACAACAGCATAAATGGTGCATGTCAGTTATGGGTTATGTTCAACCTATTCAACCTTCATTTCCAGCCCCGATTACTAACGAAACGAAGTTCCAAGAACACGCTAGCCTGTAGTCAAGGTAACTGAGAGATCATCGAGGGGAACACCGCCACTGTCACTTCAGCAGGGACCGCGCGCTACACTGGCAGCACATCTGACAGGTAGGACATGCCACTCTTAGCAACTATCTTAGCAACATGTGTGAATCTCTCAGGCAGCTGACGGAAACGGTTTTATTGAACAAATTTAAATCATCTGTTGTGTTACTTTCAGTATGATAGTTATAGTTGAAAATGCGTGTAGTGTATCTTGCTATGGGGCTTTGGCCAAAGGGGCAACATCACTTCTACCTCCCTTTTTCGAGCAGACGAGACGTGGTATTTGAAAGACAGAACTCATAAAGCCGATTTCCCTGTTTCATACATATGCAGGCCTGTGAATATAGTGTTCTTCATTCTGTGATGTTAAGTTATTAATATTATCTGTTAATTTGTGTAACGGAAGTTTATAACTGAACATGAAATATATAATTTATCTCGTAATTTGAGGTGCTGGATTAGAGCGTAGATGATCAGAAAATCGAAGCTTACACGGATTATAATTTCTCTGCTGCTTGAAACATGTTTCAGCATGTTGTTGTTACTTATCATAATTATTACTATTTTCGAGACCTCTTCTGTGGTGTAGTGGTCAGAGTTCCTAGCTACAGAACCAGAGGTCCGGGTTCGATTCCCGACGCTAACAGATTTTCTGAGTAGTAGTGGGTCTGGAACGGGGTCCCCTCAGCCTCGTGAGGATAATTGAGGAGCCATTTCAAGGAAATAGACGCTCCGGTCTAGAAAATCGAGATTAACGGCCGTGGGAATTTGTTCCGCTGACCACGCGACACCCTCTATCCGCTAAAGTTGGCATTAACTTCGCCGACAAGCGGCGGTTGCTCGGTCGGTATATTTCGCTTGCGGACTAAAACAATGCAACTTTTTTTAGTTTTTTGTTACTATTTTCATATTTTTCTGAAAAACCCTGTTATGTATCTAAAGGGTTAATGGTAATGTTCCCCTTGTGCTTAATTAATTTAAGCTCTACGCCATGAAGGCTATGGGGAAGTGGATGCACAGGAAAGAGACAATTTTTGACCCTACCGGAACTCAGATTTCCACCTCTCTGTCTTCCAGCCTGTAGCCAGTCGCTATACCGCTGCGCTATCCCGGCTCCTAAACTGAATGTGTAAAATCTCAAAATTTCGCCTCGTCATTAAGCTTGCTATTTTTCTTTACGAACTATATTTCGCTCATAATCCATTGGAATGTTAATAACCGACCTTATAAAACTGCACATTTTAACTCTAACGATCCATTAGTTAGGGCTATAATCACTGAGATTTGCATGAAAATGCCTATGGTCGTCATATTTTGATATTCTACAAAACTGCATTAATACAAATTGAAGATCTATTAGCATACATAACTTCAGGGCCTTACATTAAGGGACGCTAGTGTCGTTCTACACGTTCGTGAGTCCGCCATTTTTTTATTACTGATAGCAGTGATTCACAATTTATTACTTTTAACGTGACATCCAGTGAGTGACACTTGTACCAGGAAAAAGAAGGTAAAAGCTATACTGTAACAGGCCGTGTAGGCCCATAGGGCTATGAAACGTTGAGGCTCCCACGTTTTCTCTAGGCAATCGGCTCACAGATGGCTGTAAGGTTGTCAGCCTTACGCGCCGTTAGCCTTCACCCCCCCCCGTAAGATTCTTGCTACTCATTTCTGTTAGAGGCTGAGTCGACCCCAGGGCCATAGTACGGCTGGAAGGATTAGGTAATGTAACCGTCCTTCTTCGGTTCTGCTAGTCTCGGTAGAGCAATCCGACTCCTCTCAGGGCGTGTTGACAGGCCACGACTTGGGTGATTAGTGGGGCTTAGGTGTAGGGAAGTAACCTCAACACCGATTAACTGTATGGGGTCTTTATTTAATTTACACTAATTGGATAGAAACAGCCCGTATTGGTACCCTTCACAAATTCGTGGACGTAGGCTTACTGTTCTGGGGACGCACACTTAATAGTTACCACCGGCGTCTTTACGGGGATCAGCACACCTGTACCCCCGGTGAACGTAACTTTCCAAGTCTCTTTGCCAAGCACCCTCTGACTGGTAAGTACTTGCCCTGGTTACTCACAATTCGGGCAAAGGACCCCCGTCCCTTCAGACGATGATTGGCTGGACCGGGCAGACTGGGAGGTGGCTTATCATTCTCCTCCAATTAGGAAAGCGAATATCCACTAGTGTACAGTTTAGGGGTGAACTTTGCCACCTGCTGCGTGGCTGTCAAACTGAGATTTTGGGTTAGCAGGAAACGACGCTGCTAAATTTATGACTTCCCCTGTCAAGTTTAGAATTTCTAAAGAACTCGGCCTGGTTACGCATTAAATTAACTGATTTCGAAAGGGCAGCAGGCTTCAAGCTTGACCCAAGCCACTTGCTGCTTGTCTCAGGGGGAAGATTCCAAATTGTGAGGCGAAAGTGGGGAATTTCACAAAACCCTAACCATACACAAACATCAATTGACCTTCCCATAAACTGGACAGTTACAGTAAATTGGGGGGAAAAAAAATCCACCTCATCGGAACCCGAACTAGCGACCTTCCGGCTTGTAGCATAGTGCCTCAATCAACTACGCTACCGCGCGCCCTTAAATAGACCACAAATAAATAATACATTAAAAACAAAGATTTGTAGGACCTGGAGTCTGTAGATTGTGACACTAGGTACTATGAGTTATGTCAGCGTGACAGGATGATCAATAGAAACGAGTTGTTGCTGATAGGACAGGTGGTGCAGACATGAGAAGCATAAAATGCATAAATGAAAGTGACCGCTTGGAACACGGGGATAGGAGGATCGAATTTTAATGGATTTTGTTAACACAGACCGGATTAAAGCGAACTAAGATGGAGGAAAGCTGTGAATATATTGAATAAGCAGTTGCGGACAGCCGAAAAGGGGTAGGCCTCCAGCTTGGGGTTTGGGCGTGGGGCTAACAACTCACAGCAAAAAATCATTGTTACGAAAATGAACACAAAGCCTCGGACCTGGACGGATTCCTCGGATAAACGACCTAAGCTAATGAAAATGGATATGAGATTTGGCACTTGGAATGTACGAAGTTTGTATAGGGCAGGTTCGCTCAGGGCAGTGGCAGAATAAATCTTAAAATATTAGATTTAGCGGGCGTGCAGGAGGTCAGATGGGACGGAGGTGGCATCACAGCAGCAGGAGACTATACATTATTCTGTGGAAAGGGGAATGAAAATCATGAATTAGGTACAGGTTTTTTTCGTACATAAGAGAATCGTATCAGCAGTTAAGATGGTAGAATACATTAGTGATAGGATATCATATATAATACTAAAAGGTCGCTGGTGTGATATCGTTATGAATGTTCACGCCCCAACAAAAGATAACATTGATGACATAAAGGATAGATTCTATGAAGAACTAGAACACGTATTTGATAAATTCCCGAAGTACCCTATGAAATTTTGTTAGGAGATTTCAATGACAAAGTAGGGGGGGAAGACATTTTCAAACCAACAATTGGGAATGAGAGTTTGCATGAAATTAGTAATGATAATGGAGTTAGAGTAGTAAACGTTGACACATCAAAAAAAATTTTACTGTTAAAAGTACAATGTTCCCACATCGTAACATCCATAAATTTATTTGAACATCTCCTGATGGGAAGATACCCAATCAAATAGACCATATTTTGATAGAGAGGAGACGGCACTCAAGTATCCTTGATGTCCGATCATTCAGGGCAGCAGATTGTGATACTGACCACTACCTGGTGGTGGCAAAGGTTAGGGAAAGACTGACAGTGAGCAAACAAACAACACACAGAATTCATATAGAGAGGTTCATTCTCAAGAAATTAAATGATAGAGGGTAAAGAGCAGTATCGTGTTGAAATCTCAAATAGGTGTGCGGCTTTGGAAAACTTGGAAGACCAAGGCGTAGGTGGGTGGACAATATTAGAATGGATCTTAGAGAGATAGGATGGGATGGTATGGATTCGATAGATCTGGCTCAGGATAGGGACCAGTGAAGGGCTCTTGTGAACACGCTGATGAACCTTCGGGTTCCATAAAATGCTGGGAAATTCTTCAGTAGCTGCAGAATTGGCGGCTCATCCAGAATGGCTCAGCTCCATGAGTAAGTAAGACAGTACATATATATATACTCCATCTACTCTAGGGACGAGGGTACGTCATCGTCAGACAGTGACGTAGACCGTTACGTCATCATTATAAAGTTACTAGCTTCTATTTTCCATATACTTCCGGATTCTTACGCCAGTGGAAAATTCAGACATCCGGGTACTTCTACAGGATTCTTTTTCTGTAGTTTACCTACACAACGTGTGACGTATCCTACGTCATAGAGTAGATGAATTATATAGCCTTAGTTTTAGGAAATTTAGACCTTCGAGCTCTAAGATTAAGGTGTTAGTTCTATCCACCTACCTACCTACCTACCTACCTACCTACTTACCTACCTGCCTGCCTGCCTGCTTATCTATCTGACTACAGCCCTTGGGGACCTTGGCCGCTTTTTCAGTTTCTTAATCTATACACAGTCGGTAGGACTCCTTGGATGGGGGATTACCCAGTCGTAAGGCCGCTACCTACACACTGAACAACACAAACACAGAATAAACGCACACAGATATTCATGCCCCGTATGGGGTTCAAACCCACGACCCCAGTGTCCAAGCGGGCGAAGACGGTTCATGCCCTAGACCACGCGGCCGGCCACTGTGATCGGTCGAGTGTTAGTTACTTGGTGAAAAGACTATAAATATTTGTTATCATTTGAATATTTATCTATTGCATACGTAGCCCCGAGAGACAAAATTGTAGGTGCATATGTTAAGAACGTTAAAAGGAAAATGTTGTCTGGACTTGTTATCAATATGCATATGCACTTTTCAGTTTTTCAACAGATAACACGACAGATAATGTTGCGGCCATGTGATAAACTCACATATGACTATGTTCAACAAGTCCGCGGTTAATTCTGAAGTAATATATTAATGTGTTGGTATTCCCTGTCATGAATATAAAATATCTGTAAAGATGCGCATGTAATTTATAA